TGGAATTGCTGCAGGAGGCAGAGGAAAGAAGCCCAGAGGAGCTGGTACCTCGCTCGCTATTTTGGTGGCGTATTTGACATGTAAGAGGGAAGGTGTGACCTCCAGGCCTGTGAGGTTCCTGCCCTTCATGGACTCTTCAAAGTCCTTCTTATATTCTTTCTAATGAGAGCAAGAAGAAGAAGAAGAAGGGGGGAAAAAAAAGAAGCAAAACACAAAATATTATTACAATATTTTTCATTATGTGCAAAGGTGGGAGGGTATCAATGTTTAGCTGATGTTAAATAAATCCTCTTTCCACTAAAATTTGTGAAAGCTGATTGCTTTCCAATGAAACCTGATCATGCCTTTAATATATTTTTCAATATTTTTCTCCTGATTTATCTATCAGAGAAAATATTCAGAGGAACCACGAGGACTAACAGCCTTACAGAGCTGCTTTGCAGCCTCCATCTGGGCCAGAATAGGAGGAAAAGTCAAATAAACACAAAAAAAGGGCTCAAGAAAAGAGAGTGACAGGTTAGGGGAGAACCTGTGACAGCAGAGACATACAGGGAATCAAAGGATTTCTCAAAAATGAAGTTTGGAGGTGAAAAAAAAAGAAGCAGGGCACTTTTTGTGACCTGTGATGACACATAAACACTGTGTCTTGTTGTGAAAATGAAATTAATTTCGTGTTACATTTTTTACTCAGAGATTTGTTTAAGCTTCATTTACTGAGAGCTGATAAAAAATTACAGATAAACCCACTTCATGTTGGGAAAGTGCCATGGATGTTCAGTGTAGCATTTGACACCCAACATAAAAAAATCTGATTTAATTTTTCAATCTATCAGCATGCATAAGAAAAAGTAGAATTGCCTATTAGATCCTTATTAAAGTTTAGGAATAATAAATTATAATAATAAATATAATAATAAATATAATAATAATAATAAAATATTAAAAATAATTTTAAAATTGCAGGTTTTTCAGTCTGTCAGCATTGATTTTACCTCGCTCTGCATGAGCTGAGACTCCTTTGCAGTCAGGTAGGTGGGAGTTTCAAAGTCCAGCATGGGTTTTCCTTTTTCCTTCTCATATTTTTCCCTGTATTTCACCTGAGAAAAAAAGACAGAAAGTCACTCTCCCCAGTAATCAAAGACTTAATTAATTGAGTAGTGAGTGTCTGCTGTCAACAGTTCTGCAGGGATTTCTCTCTTGTTTCACAGCCAATAAATGCTTGGAACAGAGAGGATCAGAGACCAGGTCAGACTGTGAATTTCTCTGGAGAGATTCACTGTTCACTGTTTTTTTCCAGAGGGAAAAATTCCAGCACCTTTAGAGCAGCAGGAGGTGCTGTTTTGGTTAAAGGATTTTGGATGCAGAAAAGGAGAGCAGAGCAGAGCTCTCCTTTGGGACATTTGAAGCAGATGGAAATCCACTGTCAGCAACATCCCTAATTCCTGCAATTCCCAGTTTCTCTCATTTCCAGGTCCTTTATGAAAAAAAAATCTTCCTAATAAATGGATTATCCTGTGTGAAAAGATCCATGTACAGCAGAAATAACAGCAGGGATTGACTGTGAAATGAAGGAATCACACAGGGATTTTATCTGAATATTTTGTGTTTTCTGAACTTGCAAATGTGTAAGATGTTTGTCCCTGGCTCCTTACCCAGGAGGGCAGTGCTGCTGGGGCAGGGAATGTCACAGCCTGGAGGATTTCCTGGGATAATTTTGGAGGAATTTGGCACTCAGTGAGTTGGGATAACGACAAACACACAAACTTACGTGGCTCTGGAGCTCTGAGGCCTCCCTGAGGTGAACCTGTTCAAGATTATCTGGCACCACATGGTAGTGACCCTTACTCTTCTCATATTGCTTCTTGTACTGGTACTGAAGGGAAGGTGTCAAAAATCATCTCAATCAAAAAAAAAAATCCCTCAGCAAAATTTACTTCTTAGGTCCAATCAAAGCAACACTTCAATGGAACATCAAAGAGAAATTAGAAATGCAAGAAGTAAAACAAAAAGCAAGAAGTTTAGAAGTGRTATGTAAAATTGGGGGTTAAAGATTTCACAGTTATGTTTTTTAGGATCATTTGGATTGCAACAAAGGYTTTGTCCAAACCAGGATTAAAAGAAGAAAAAGAAAGAGAAGAGAGAAAACACAGTGGGTTCATGAAAAGGCTGTACCAGGCATTTATGGGGTTTGCCTTTTCTCATCAATTACTTTGTTAGGCATAATTATGTATATTTGCATTAGGGGATTATTAAACTTGAAGTAAAAAAAAAA